AGCCAGAGCCGCTAGCTCTCCAGCCTTCCTCCGCCTACACCAGCTGAACGAAGCGAGCGCGCATGGGAGGACTTGCTGTTGCAGATCTTTAAAATTTAAAGCATTTGTCAAAAATTGCATTACGAATATGGAAAAATTGTATATAAGTTGCGTCGGCGTATAAGTCGCAGAACTGACTAATCTATGCAATAAACTGTGTCTTATATGCTGAAAAATACGGTACTTGAATGACATCCAAACTAGACCCTGCTCGCAACATCCAGGCACATCTAAACATAATTCTGCATCTGTCTGGGATTTCTAATCAGTGGAATGAAATGGCTTCATTTTGTTTTTAACTTGATGCGAGTGTTATGCGCAAAAGTGTTATTTTTCCTTCATTTGGGTGCATTTCAAAAAGAAAGAAAGCAATGCATGCAATCCAAACTCAAAGCAGAGGGATGGGTTGTTTTCTCCTTCTCCAGTCAGGCCAAGATTTAATCACTCAACTGGATCTTCAAGTCATTGTGTGGGCAGTTCTGCAGTTTTTTTGTGAATCACTGGTTTCTTGTGTTACAATGAGGTTTCATGGCTTCATGCAAAACCCTGGACCGGCTCGATGTGGTGGGGCGTCCAGCCAGAGTAAAACAAAAAGAAGGAGCTGAAGGGTGTTAAGTTGGAGCACAGACTGCCATAAACAAGCTCGGTATGCTGTGTGTGTGCGTGCATGCGTGCGTGTGTGCGCGCGCTGGCATAGCATGCTTGGCCTTGATGGGACTCCACAAACATGCACAATATTTGACTCCTATTTTTTCCATCTTACAGAAATATAAGTAGATTTATTCCATTTTATAAAACAAATAAAACCACTCTCCAATTCAGAATAAAATCAATACAGCTGAACTCAAAGTTGGAGTGTGATATTGATTAAAAAAAAAGGTATTGGTGTTTGGTGAACCCAAGCCCTCTAATATGGTAAATGTGTTTTGGGTTGACGGGGCTCTCTAAAGGGAGAGACACCACAGAGTGCTGAGTTGGACTGGTGTGTGAGGGTCTGGCATCCGCTGCGGGGTGTTTTAGAAAGAAAAAAATGCAGTGGTTGTTCTTGGACCGCCGCTGTCCAAACGTTCATGTAATATTCTGGTGTTTGCCATCGCGAGTTGAGCTCATTTGCGGTGATTATGAGTCAGTCCGGTTCAGGAGCCGCGGAGAGGTCCTGCAAGGACAACCGACTGACTTGACTTAACCTCAGTGCATTCAAAATATTCCATCCAGCAAATAACCTGAGCCTAGACACAAGCACCTGGGATTAACCTGTATAAATAAAGGTTGAATGAAAAGCGCCACCATCAAACTATTGTTTAAATCAAATAATCCAGGGCTATTCAACTGGGGGCACAGTTACTGAAAGCCAAGAGCTCAGGGGCTGGACGTCCAGCTGGTATTATCATTAAGTAAGTTTGTTTTACAGTTTAAAATCTAAAATTAATTAAAAATTAACCCATTGGTGGGCCGAACTGAGCTCACCACTGGGCCACCAGTTGAATAGCCCTGAAATAATCCATGGCCTTTAGAGATTGAACTTTTTTGGATTTTTCTACCTGGATTACTGAGCATGCATCAGGATACCATGGCCTTTAGGTTTCCTTTCCTCCAGCAGAGAACTCACGTTGTCCTGCCGTGTGTGTAAAATGCAGACGGAGGACTTTTTCAGTTGTGTGGAGGAGTCTACTGGCGCGCAGCAAACACCACCCCAAGTTGTTTTGTTTGCTGATCCCTGTCCTCTCATAAAGCATTTACACTTTATCTTTGTTACTGAGAACCTGATGATAAATCTGTGGGAAGTTCATTTGTTTCTGTTGCTCCAGCTGGGCTCTACCTGACAGCGCTGGAAACCTCGCTCGTACTCCAACATCCGAACGACATAAAATGTCCTCGAGCCGTGTGAAAAGTCAACCGACATCATGCTGAAAGTAAATGAGAGTGACATGTTTCTGAAATGACTGTTTGACCTTTTGTTCTTTCAGCGATGCGGCTTTTGTGTTTATCCTGTTGATTGCACATGTCGAGCGGTGATGACGTGACCTCTGTTTTCATTCTGACATACATGCGGGGACAACACCATAAACCACAAATCCTGACCTGAGATAGCTTCCATATACACCTCTGACAGTTTCATTAGCATGCCAACACTGGGATTCGGAGAAAAACACAGACAAATGAGTCAATAACTCGGTCAGTTTTACAGATGTTGTCTAAAATTTGATGTCGAAGCTGAGACTGATCCTCAACACATATTCTGAGCACTAAGAGACTGTGCAAGATCTTTGTCAAAAATGTTGCCATTAACTGTTTTAGCTCTTCGCTGTCTGTCTGTTTGCAACATACCTCACAGCTTACTACATAAAGTTTGATGAAACATTTAGATAATAACTACTGGCTGTTATTAACTGTTGGAGTCGCTCCAATTCAAGATGGTCGTCACCGCTAATCAACGTGATTCAACACAGAAATGGTAATTTCGCAAACATCAAGCTAAAATGTAACGTGGAAGTAGCTGAGAGTTGTTTGTGACACATTCTGAGCCAACATCGGGGGGGGGGGGGGGGGGCAATTTAGGGGAGTGGTGGTGGGAGAGGTTAGAGAAGGTGAGCCTGTGATTGGAAGGTCGCAGGCTCAATTCCCCTTACGGACGACATCAAAATATGGGTGGGAAAGATGAAACACCCACCCTCATTTGCTCCACCTTGGGCCCTTGAGCACGGCCCTGAACCCCCACCATCTGCTCCCCTGGGCACCCTAGGCAGCCCTCTGCTCCACACAGAGGGCTGTGGTAGCTCGGTGGTCCGTGGTTGTGTCAGGAAGGACATCCGGCGTAAAATCAATAGCCAAGTTTTTGTGTTCGCTGTGGTGGCCACTGAAGAAGAGAGCAGCTGAAAGAAAGAAAAAACTGAGCAAACATCAGGGGATGCTGTCTTGACTGTACTGTACTTCAAAAATATATAAGAGCTGAACACTTCTGTCAGTGCAATCCTGATTATGTCCTTAAAAATAAAAGCAGACAAGTTAAAAAGTCAAATTTAATCCCATTGATTAGCCCGTATCCTTCCAAAGTAAGAACACATGAACTCAGTACTACACACTCTTTGCTGTTTTCCTCATGGCAGTGTTCTTTATGTCGTATGTTCATACTCGTCATCCCCATGAGAACCCCTCTGTAGCTGTGCATCCTGTGAGGATCGCTTGGGAGCAGCTTGTATGAAACGTGTCACCTGCAGACACTGAATGTGGCAGAGGAGGAGTCTAATAAAAGCTGGGTGAACATCGTGTTCCAGGTCTGAGCTGAAGTGTGCACAGAGCCGGTCCTGAGAGCAGCATGACTCACCGGAAAAGAGCAGACTGCGAGCTTGCAGAATTCATTAAGACAAATATAAGGTACATGGATTTCCTCAGGAAGAGAGAGAGAAAAACACTTGGCAGCTGCGGAGCAGTTCCCGGGTGAATCCACAAGTAGCTTTCCATTCACCTTTGGAATGAAAGCATTTTGCAACCATGTAGATGAGATGTTTTGATCGAGTTTAAATTACTTAGTGTACTGGGCAGTTGCAGTAGTTTTAGTAGAATGTGCAACTAGCTGCAACAAACTATACCACACATAGGCAAAATGTGGTCCGAGGGCCAGAAGCGGCCCTTAAATTATCTCCATCTGGCCCTTGACATCCTTAAATGACAACAAAACAAGTAAAAATATGGAACACTGTGTATGTTGGATATTATTTACTGAAATACTGACATATTAGTTCACATGTTTCAAATGCTAAGAAAGACCAGATGAGCTTTGACCAAGAGTGTGAATATAAAAGTAGAACAGAGCAAGCCTTTTACTAGTCGTGTTTCATTTATATTTATGTATTTAGTACTTTATGTCACAGATGTTGGGTGTGGCTATGCTGCACGTGTTTTAGTTCATGCTGTCATATTTCAATTGTTTTATTTTTTAATGGCCCTTTGGGGACACAAAAGTTGACCAGTTGACTTCCTCTTTTTAAATCTCTTTTAAAAACACACCTATTCTCTGACTTAACACAGCGTGGTTTGATTTAGTCTTTTTTGTTCTGTGTTTTCATGCTTTTCTTTTGATGTTTTTAGTTATTTTTGGTAATGTTTTTCACATTAAATTACAGCCATTGATTTTTATTGTCAAGCACTTTGGTAACGGCTGCTGTTTTTAAATGTGCTTTATAAATAAATTTGACTTGACTTGACCAACACTATTCCATATTAAAAATAAAGCTATTTTAGGAAAAAAGTTTCACATGCATTTAAAGTTGTCAAACATACTTATCACTATAAGAAAAACAGCCACATTAAACTTCCCAAATTCTGAGGTGAATAGAAGTAAAATTTTTAAAAAGCAGCTGCTTGTAATCCAAAACAACTCACCATCATTATTCTGCGCTTCTAACATTGTGCCTAAGCTCAATGTTGCCACCTTGTGGGCATTAAGCAGTACTGCACGAAGAAGCATATTTTATCCCCACAAAATGCAATGTATGACGCAATAAGAAATGCTATGGTGCTGGTTATTATAGCTAATAAGTTCTCGATAATAATAAAAAAATCTAACAAAAAAACTTCACAAATATTTAAAGATATATTTATTTTACATGCGCAAGTTCTTCGGTAAAGTTATGCCAACAGCTTTTTAAATCACCTCAGTTCAACTTTAGTGTTTGAGAGGTACGTGTAAAACATAACAACAACAATAAACATAATAAACTAAATACAGTTTGTGCTTTTTAACAAACATCACGTCACCGGATGTCGCCTCTGTGTTGAGCGCGAGCTCTGCGCTGTTCCTCCAACAGGAAGTACCTCCCGCTGATCGGTCCGTTTCTTTAGGGCTGCCATTTTAGTGAGCTTACGGTAAGAAAACTTGCTTGGTGTTGTGTAGTTATCTGCCTGTCACACGGTCATCCTTCTACTGGGTTGCAGTGCTGGAGTCTGGCTTTCTAACACGGTTCATACATGTATGTGTTTATTGTTGACTGTAATTTTAGCCTTGATGCTACTACTGTTAGCATTCAAAGACTAGCTAGTTTGCTTTAAATGTCGTATTTAAAGCTTCGTGCTGATACTAAACACTCAAACATTAAAAACTTACTCATATGATTGTGCAAATGTAAAAGTTTTGACTAAAAAACATACAATTTAGTAGAGACTTTTCTCGAGTCAAATGTAAAAGAAGAGTATCTCATTTCATTGAAGCAAAAATACAGAAAAACACCGTTTTTAAACTATCTGATTCGGAAAATACATTAAAAACAGCCAGATATAATCATAATCTTTAAAGTACTCTACAGGTTTTTTTTGACGGTCTTTCGCTGTTTATTTTTTTGGACTTTTTTTTTTTTTTTTTGGCTTCTCTTCACACAGATAGCTTCCTTAGATACATACGTGCATACATACATATATACATACATGCAAACATGGATGCATACATACATAGATACATGCATACATACATATATACATACATGGATACATGCATACATACATATATACATACATGGGTACATGCATACATACATGGATACATGCATACATACATGGATACATGCATACATACATGGATACATGCATACATACATGTAGTGATAGCAAGATGAAGCTTCATGAAGCACTGAGACTTTCCATTAAATAGCTCGAGTCATGATCCAACGCGCCATGGTGCTTCATTTGCTCTACTACACCATCAAGTGGACTATAAATGTAAAACTGGTAGATGGATTTTAATAACATAACATAACTGGTTTGCGAAGCTTTAAGTTGAATAAAAGAAATCATGTTTGTGAGGACCTCAAATAAAGTCTAAATTTGATCTGCAAATGATCTTAATCTGTCTTTATGATGATGGTGATGATGGATTTTTCTGTCTGCCCCATATATTTCAAATCTCGTGCATACAAACGAGCCGGTTTCTGAATCGGTCATGTGGTACGGCCCGCTAGCGAGGCCTCGAACGTCACTACATGCGTCATCAATACACGCCTTGACACACGCTCCACATAAATCCTCCTGGATTACTTGACACACACTTCGAAACCTCGACATAGGACACATCACTACATACATGCATACATACATATATACATGCATGCATACATAGATACATGCATTCATTCAACCTTTATTTAGACAGGTAAATCCCATTGAGCCTCGAGGACTCATTTACAAGAGAGACCTGATTTCAACGAAGAATGATGACAACAATGGACAACAGCAACAACAATAAACAATTATAAAAAGTCATACAAATTTATTTATTTATTTTTTTACAAATAGGAAGGCTACAAAAAGAAAAGTAACAAAAAACAGCTAGATTCTAAGGCAAATGTAGAAAACTAAAAACAGGAACATGTCTGCGTTGGTCCTTGCCAGGAGTCCAACAGATTCTTAAAGCCACTTAGAGAGGTCAAGGTCGAGAGCTTCAGATCTTTTTGTAAGATATTCCAGGAAACAGGAGCGGAGTAGGAGAAGGCCCTTTTGCCTAGTTCAGTCCTCATTGAGGGAACACTGCAGGTAATAATGTCCTGAGAGCGCACGCTGTAGCTGCACTCACACAGAGACATGAAGGAGGAGATGTATGAAGGCAGCAGACCAAGAAGTGATTTAAAGATGAAAATGTACCAGTGAGAGAGTCTGCGTGAAGTTAATGATGACCAGTTAACCAGTGAATACAGGGTGCAGTGGTGGGTACGATAATCACAGCCAGTTATGAATCTTAGTGCACCATGATAGACAGCATCCAACATCTGCAGGGTTCTTGTAGGAGCGTTCATGTAAATAATGTCACCGTATTAATGGAGTAGGGCTGCAACTAACGATTATTTCAATAATCAATTCGTCAGTCGATTATTTTTTTTGATTAATTGGTGAATCGGCAAAAAACAACGTTTTAATTTCCACCCCTTTATTCCAAAATTGAACATTTGACTGACATAGCAATTCACACAAAAAACAGGTTGCTATTTGACTATTCTGTTAGTAAAATATTGAATAAAAAAATAAAAGTTATTCAAATAGCTTAAAAAATAAATGTACACAAAAATATATACAAATGTATCTTTATACCTGCACAATATGTAGCTACTTTGTAAAATGTGTCATTGAGAGAAGAGTGTAACCTGGATTAAAAGTGTGGATTATTGTAACCTGGATTAAAAGTGTGGATCATTGTAGTGAAGCCTTCGTCTTCAACCATCGACAGAGGCCTCATGTCAGTGACGATCATTTAAGGATGATTTCAGTGAAGACAGCTGCTGCTGTGGTGTCCATGATGTCCGTCCATCATGAAGGCTGTTGTTGTTTGTTGTTGTTTTGTGGAATGAGACAGTAAATATGTATTACAGTGAACCCTCGTTTTTCACTGGGGTTACGTTCCAAAAAGAACCCGTGATAGGTGAAATCCGTGAAGTAGTAACCTTTATTTTTTTTTACAATTATTATACAATGAAATATTCCATAATACATTCAAACCAAAGAACAAAACCTTTTTACAGGCCCAAGCATTTGTTTAACAAATAAAAGTACTGTATTAATGTTTTTTACAAATAACTACTGTACTGGAGAGACTGTTTAGCCAATCAGAATGCAGAACACAATGCACGATGCAAATCCGTGAAGCAGCGAGACCGTGAAAGATGAACCACGTTATAGCGAGGGTTCACTGTATATCATAATTTACAGCAACTCAAGAAATGCCTTGTTTCACTAACGGTGTTAGGTTCAGGCAAAAGTAGCTAAAAGAGCAATTAAACACACACATACACACACATTATATATATATAAAATACTTAATTACACACATTTGAGTAGATGTAATAAATTACTTTAATTCCTGTTTAAATGCAATTCATCCTGCCATACCTGCAGTGTCTTTAGACTTTGCCAGCAAATTAAAAGTTGAAGCTTAATCATTAAATTATTATCTTTGTGTTAGATTTATTTATAAATCACATTTAAACACTGCTTGTACCAATTAAATTAAATAAAAAGTACTAAAGAGGAAATATTTGTAAAACAAGCTAGACCCAAAGAAAAATCTTTGAAAGCCCTCCAGAACATGTACTGGTAAAAAGTCTCCTTTGAAGCTACAAATTTAAAAAATAGACTTTCCAGTAAGTCTCTTGTGCAAACTATAGATAACAAGGGGCCACCTTGGTATCTATAGTTTGTAAAGCTGACTTGTTTAATGGGATAGAAAAGCTACAAATTGAGTTGAAACATGGGCTCAATCATGTCCTGATGCATGCTCAGTAATCCAGGTAGATACATCTAACAATGTTGAGTCAGATGCTCTGGACGGATTCTTCTTTGTTGACAAGAATCAAAGACAGGACCTAACTCAACTTTGTTAGATAGGCTCAATCAGTTATAGACATTATCACATTTTCAAAAATACCCAAAGAAATTGGTGTCAGATGACAAGATAAAGTGAACATTTTCTGTGTTGGTAAATTATTTAAGACTCTGTATCATTTTTATTCCTTCAGGAAGATATGTTGGAACCACCTTGTAAGTAGAGATGCACTGATCTGATATCAATATCGGTATTGGTACCGATATCTGGAAAAACTTTTGGATCGGTGACAATTTGACCGATCCATTTTCCGATCCAACCTGCAGAGATTTCCGATCCATGATGCATGTTGGTTTCAAACTATGGAATGGATTTCCTGAACGGAGGCGTGTCTCATGAACCCAGAGTAATAAGACCCGCCTCACATTCAGGAAATCCATTTCATAGTTTACAGCCATCTACAACGTGAGGACTGAGTTAGCAGCACTGTGGCTAACAGCTAACCAAATTTTCATCTAAACGTGTCCGCTGTGTGGAAGTATTTTACACTAGAAACACCACAAAGCAAGACGGCAACGTGCAATGTCTTCAAAGCCATAGCACCACATTAAACTGCAGTAAAGTTAGTTTTACGTTGGACATTCGAGCTCCGTAGCTTCAATGTGGCGCTACTTTTGCCTAACCCGAAACAGGTGACTCGACCCCGGCCAGCCGCGTCCAATCTGCCCTGCTCAGTCTGCCCGTCTCTGAGGAGGGACAGACTGAGTGCAGCTGACTGAAATCAGGCTTCGGGTTGAACAAGAAGAAGACATCGCTGAAGCCCTGGACCTCGAATGTTTATCAAGAAGTTGCTAAACTTCTTCATAGTTAATGACCAACGGCTATCAGTTGTAGAAAACGAAGGATTTCTCAGCTTGATACTTGCAGTCAAGGTATAGTTTACCCTCCAGGAGATCTTTATCAGTACAACAGTAGACAATCATTAAAAAAAATATGATTTGAAAATTACAAGAAAATTATATATCTATATAAAAAATAAAAATAAAACAGCTACATTATAAAGTGATGTAAAATACTAAAAACAGGAACATGTCTGTTGGTTTATGCCATGAACTTAGCAGGTGTTTGAAGCCATTTAACATTTTATTTAATTCATTTATTCATTCATTTAAAAGAAACAGAACAAATTCATCAAAAAGAAAACATTGAATGAAAAGAGTGCAGAAAAAAGAAAAATCTTATATCTGCCCCTTATTAAAAAAAAATTATAACTTTAAACAATCAATCACTTTAATATCCAATTTCCAACTAGGAATAAAAACACATGATTTGTGTTAGCAGAATTTAATTCTAACTTTAAAACTTATCCAACATTAATACAACTTAACTCAAGTTGCCTTTTTGGACATGCATGCATATATTTGTACAAATTGTACTTGAGAGGAGATTATTACAGCCTCATATAAAATCAATGATGATGATGATGATATCGGAACTGGATCGGTATCAGCCGATATTTAGATTTAGGTATCAGGATCGGATCGGAAGTAAAAAAAAAAAAAAAAAAGTGGATTGGTGCATCCCTACTTTCAAGGCTCTTTTCTAATATGTTTAGCATAGCTGTCATTCTTGGTCAAATTACAAAATATACTCTTAGTATATTGTTGTATACCTTGCATTAACTTTCCTCCAGAGTAATTACTAAAATCCTGTTATTTGTAATAATAATAATTAAAAAAAATTAATTAACCTTGCTTTATTTTTAAAAGAGAATGTCGAGGGCCGGTTGACAACGCTCAAGGGCCGCCTCTGGCCCTTCTTTTCTTCATATAAAAAAATTAACAAAAACTTTGTAAATATATGTATTTTTTCTATTTAATTGTCTGACTATTCAAGCGTTGACAGGATTGTTTAACCAACATGTCCTCTCTGTGTGTTTTTCTCAGCAGTACAATGGGGGTCCAAGTGCACAAGCTCACATCAAATTCACATCATAAAAACATTCTGACTTCTCTGCATCAGCTCAGGATCCAAGGACAGTTGTGTGATGTTACAGTGCAGGTGGACTACCAGGGAGATGTTCAGGAGTTTCAGGCCCACCAGGTGATACTTGCTGCATCCAGCGGCTACTTCAAGAAAATCCTTTTGTCCCAGAATGCAACCAAAGAGAAATTATTACTCTCAAACATGCAGTCCAATGATTTCTCCAAGTTTTTAGAATTTGTGTACTCTGGGAAGATCAAAGTTGCTCAAGATAAGATCGGTGATGTCCAAGCCGTGGCACAGATATTGGATTGTGAGAGTCTGTCGGAGATTTGTGCTGAAGCCTTAAGTACTGGAGTTCCACAAAAACCCAGAGAGAGAAGAACACGTGCCTCAAAACACAAACCTCAAGATGCTTCAGGTAGCACTAAAAAGAGAGAAAAGGCAAAAGGAAAGAAACAACCCAATAACACTTTTCTAAAGCGGAAACTCTCCATGAAGAGCTCTGAGAAAGACGACGTCATTAAAAAAAGATTAAAGGTGAAAAACATGCAGAAGAAGGCAAGAATACGGGGTGAAAAATTAAAACAGAAGCTTGCAGGCCGTAAAATGGTCCATAAGTCCTCTCAGAATCTTCACAGTGAAAAACAAGTTGAGACAAAAAGCACAGAGGAGAGTGGGAACGGGACTGGAGACGCTGTTCGGCCAAACAAAAAAGTAGAAAAGACCTCACTGCTGGAGCATTTATCTGAAGATGAATGGGGATGTGACGACGAGGTGCAGAGTATTGACCCCTTGTTTTTATTGGACACAGAGGAGGAGGACGAGGAAGAAAATGAACAAGTTAAGAGGAAACAAAAAAAAACCTCCAGGGCCCAGTTCCTGTGTAACAAGTGCATGCGGACTTTCCACTATGAGAAAAGCTACATGAAACACATCAGGTAATGTTTCTCCTGGGTCTTACTGATCATTCTTGTAGTTCCATGACGTGTGCATGATGGAGTTGGGCATCGTTTGAATTTGAGCGGTTCCGACTCTTCGTTTCGATTCCGGTTCCTATCGATTCCCGATTCCGATTCTTTTTAGAGGCTTTGTTTTAAAAAAGCCTGAACAAAATCAATCATATATAAAAACAATAAGTTAACAGAAACTTTCATATAAAAATAATAAGTTTACACTATTTATCTGAGGAGCAGACTGCTTTGAATTTAACTCCATCAAGTTATATATGAGGGCAGCACGGTGGCACAACTGGTAGAGCTGCTGCCTCTCAGCGCGCAGGTCCCTGGTTCAAATCCCAGTCTGGGGGCCTTTCTGGGTGGAGTTTTGCATTTCCCTAGGTGTGAGTGAAAGTGTGAATGGTTATGTGGCCCTGTGATGGACTTGCTACCTGTCCAGGGTGTACCCCGCCCCTCGCACAGTGATTGCCGGACATGGTCACCGGCGATCCCCTTGACCCAAAATGGAAGAAGCGGGTAAAAGATAATGGATGGATGTTATAAATGAGCTACCTAGCCAGAGTTCTTTCTGGATGAAATAATTTGAACTTCTATTTGAATTTTAATTCTATGAATTTTTTACTTTTTGTTAAATTTTCTATGAATTTCTCACAGGGCTATTTTCAATCAGTATAAAAATATAGAACTTATCAACTTCATTCAATATGTTATGAATTTTTTTACACAGGGTTACACTTTCACAAGAGAGCTTTATGTTTGAAAACCTCATGGAAACATATTTCCACATGTCCAGTGTGTGATGCTGCAGCCATGTTACTGAGCTCTCACTGATGGACCTGCTGCAGAATATCAAACAAAATTATTATTATTATTATTATTATTATAAAAAAGAACAACTTGTTCAATCCAGTCCAGATTAGCAGCAGGTACAGTATAAAATCAGAAACTGCTCTTGTTGAGGAAAATGATCATATCTGCTTCTCAGGTAGTATGTGTGACACAGTATCTCCTGCACTGGAGAACACATGTTTGCTGGGTGTGGAAGAAGCTTGAACACATAAATATGAGAAAGCAAGATCTGACAGCAAAGGATAAGTCTTGTGTTGTTAACCACCAGCAGCAGGTCCTCAGAGAGAACGGCTGGTGAAATGTCCTGGTACATCTGCAGCCCTCTCTCCACTTGTTTCTTCATGGACATGGAGCTGTGACATTATGTTCTGTGCCTCTTCCTCAGCAAAAAGCTCCTCCAGAGGAGACTTTCTGGACAGACTGCAGGGAGGCGGCTCCTAAACAAACAACAGGTTCATCAGTATTCTCACTAAAAAGGGATTATTAAAGGCATGATCATTATTAAGATTGATAATCTATATTATTTCAGCTATCATACACTTACACTCTCCTCATCCTCCACTCCCTCATTCTCAGGCCTTTCCTCAGACTGCATGGTGACCCCATCATCTTCACAGTCTTCCTCTGTTGACCATTAAAAACATTGCTATACTTAGATTTCAGATTTTAGTAGCAGAAAAGGCCAGTTGTGCATGAATGACATTTCACCTGCTCAATCAGCTTTCTCTGGATCTGCTGCCAGACACTGTCATCCATCTTCTGTTTAAAGTGCAGAGCAGCTCTTTTCCACCTTTACCAAGATGGGATTAATTTATTTAACAAGTGGTCCATGGTAGTTGGTGCATACTTGGGTTGATGGTTTTCACCATGTCTCTACAAACATATAAACAAACATGTCATGTCCCTGTTACTGTAACGTTAGCTTGGGATGCACTATTAATTAGCTTAGCTCTATTGTTGTTGCCTAACTAACCTAAATGTTGGCGATTCCACATCTGAAAAGGGATGCAACCTTTTCACAATATATGCTGTAACCGTTCTGTGGCACTCTTTCAATTGCACAGACGTATTTCTCTTGGATGCTGTGGTGAACGGAGGAGCACATCGTGGAGCCTGGCTAACATTATTTAGCCATTTCAGGCCGTTTGTCTAAGAAAAACATACGAGCTAACATTAGCATGCTGTGTGTATTTGAGTTGACCTACCGCTTTAAGTCGAGTATAACTTGTTGGCTGCCTTAATGTTGGTATGAGACGTAGTTTATAGTTTTATTTACCTGATGGAGCCGGAGAAGGAGGCAGCGAAAATAGTCCAGTGGAGCGTGTCAAAGACGGGCCACACTTTTACTTCTACACCCTCCTTTGCACGATATAAAATTATTGCAAGTGCTGCACTGAGCTGACTGGTCATTTTAAGTTAATCCACGCTTTCGATCGCGGCCGCACACTCCATGTATGCGAACACTTCCGGTGGATTCTTCTTCGTTGGTTTTTGGTGGGCGGCTTCTTCTTTGTTGGTGTTCGGCAGGCAGCTTCTACTTCCGGTCGGCGGACTAGGCATTGAAAGTAGGAATCGAAAATAAATATTTTGAACGATTCTGGGAAAACCGGACAGTTAGTGCCGGTTCCAGTCTATTCTTGATCCTTGATGCCCAGCCCTAGTGCATGAGGAGTCTTGTACAACACAAGTCAAATGGTCAATAAACCAGATAGTTTTAAGTTCATTAATTTACTTTGTGCCATTTCCGTCTGTAAATCTAAAAAAGTTAAGCCAGCTCCTCTCGATGTTCAAAAAACATGAAAAACCAACAGCAAACAAACAAAAAAATCCTAGAAACGTTTCGTCTGGTTGATCCACTATAAGAAGGTGCTATTTATAAGACTGAGCTGAATACAGCTCCTCAGACTGAAGAAGTCTTTCAGATGAAAGATGAAACGTTTGTACAGTTTTTTTTTTTTTGTTTGTTGTTTTTTTTGTTTTGTTTTTATGTCCAGAGGACCAGACGTAACTTTTTTAGATTTTTCTACCTGGATTATTGAGCATGCATCAGGATGTTCCTCCTGTAAAGCTCCTTAGTCATTTGGGATTTTAATAATAATTTAAATGGACAAAATATGGTGATTTTGATGTATAATTTGTATAAGAAACTTTAGGAGAAAGCAATGTTAAAGCTGCTGCCAATGGCTCATTGTGATCACCATGGTAACCACTAGGGGTGCACCGAGATTTATCGGCCCCAATTTCCTTAATTTTGGGAAATCGGAGATCGAACGATCTCATGCAAGCATGAGAAACTGATTTTACCTTTTTTTTTTCGTTTTAACAATTGTCTGAACTTCATTTATATTTCAGAGCACTACCTCATGGCCAGTTAAAACAAGTTTGTATTGTTTCTAGGATATTGTTCAAGGGTATGTTTTTCAACAAAATAATATTGGAAAATTGAAGGTGCATTGTGACCTTACAACACCTGACAGTGTCGCTTATAAAACAAAATCGGTATCGGCCAAAATCGGAATTGGCAGGTCAGACTGTTTAGAAATCGGTGATCGGCCAGAAAACTGCAATCGGTGTACCCCTAGTAACTACACACACCTATGTCTTTCACTCCCAGGAATCAGGCAGACCAAAATGCAGAGTAGAAAGTAAGTCTCAAACTGTCACTGAATTCCTGAAATGCCAGAAGTGTCTAGTTGTCACACATGCACAGTTTTTCATATAGTAGTTCCTCCCTCGTTTATTGTGTGGGATCCATACCCTGAAGACCCATGATAAGGGATCCATACCCTGAAGACCCATGATAAGGGATCCATACCCTGAAGACCCATGATAAGTGAAAAACCACGAAGTAGGGATAGTAGTACAAGTAGTAAGTAGTAGGGGTGCACCGATAAATCGGCCGGCCGATCGATCGGCCCCGATTTCCTTAATTTGGGGAGATCGGCGATCGGCCGATCTTTAAATGAGAAGCCGATTTTATCCACCGATCTTATCTGCCTCCGGAAAGGTCTGAAAATCAGCTGCTGTCCCCTTTTGCTCCACTGTGAGAGCTCACACACAGGTCACTCGGAGCAGCCATGTCGTCGGTTTGGAAGTTCTACGCTGTAAAAGAAAATGAGCCAAAGATCGCAATTTGCAATTCGTGTAAAGCCGAAGTAAGTCGTGGTGGAGCCACCACCAAAACCTTTAATACAACAAACCTCGTTCGCCATTTAAGAAATCACCACGCCGCCAAGTATGCAATGTTTGAAGAGAGCAACCAAGCTAAGGCTAATGCTAAAGCTAGCGCTAACAAAGAGCCAGTCGGTGGGTCGCTGTTAGCTTTTATGAGCAACGAAAAGAGCAAAGCTACCACGAGGAAAGTGATGGAGTTCATGGCATTAGACAACCAGCCATTTTCAGTCGTTGAGGACAAAGGTTTTAGAAGCTTGATGCAGCACGTGTGCCCACGATATAATATGCCGAGTCGGAAATATTTTTCTGATGTTGCATTACCGGAGTTGTTCAGCCAAGTTTCGAGAGACACCCGCAGCCTGCTAAAAGCTAATACAAATACACTCAGCTTTACAACAGACATCTGGACTTCTGATGTAAGTTTAATGTCCATGTTAAGTTTTACTGCACAGTGGATTGACGAACAGTTCGAACGTCATCAATTACTCTTAAACTGTAAAGAAATGGCAGGGTCTCACACTGCGGCCAATTTATCAGCAGAGTTTAAGGCGATGCTGAATCACTGGGAAATCGATCATGGAAGAGTTCACGTTGTTTTACGGGATAATGCTCGGAATATGGCCAAAGCGCTGGATGATATCAACCTGAAAAGTTTACCCTGCCTGGCACACACACTGCAACTGGTTGTAAATGAGGGACAGCTGGCGCAGCGCAGCATCACAGACATGGTGGCAACAGGAAGGAGAATTGTTGGACATTTTAAGCATTCATCACTTGCCTATTCCCGACTTTATGACATACAGACACAGTTAGGTCAACCCAGGAAACGATTACAGCAAGACGTTTCAACGAGGTGGAACAGCACAGCCTACATGCTGCAGTCGCTGTTGGAGCAGAGACGTGCTATTGGCGTGTATGCTGCTGAGCATGAGTTACCAGCCACACTCACAGCACACCAG